CATCCACCCTGGCCGTGAACACTTACCAGGATGGCCCTTGTAAAAAGTCCTTCTCCAGCTCTCTTGTATCCCCTCTTTAGATATTGGAAGGTGCTATAAATTTTCCCTGGAAACTTCTCTCCAAGCTGAACAGCTCCAACTCTCTTAGCCCATCTTCATTGCAGAGGTGCTCCAGGCCTCTGATCAATGGGTGGCTTCCTCTGGACACTCTCCAACAGGTCTACATTTTTCTTGTGTTGGGGACCCTAGAGCTGGATGCAGCATTCCAGGCAGGGTCTCACAAGGGCACACTTCTTTTCATGCAGCTCAAGGTACAGTTTCAGGTTACTTCAACTTAGTTATAAATTTTACTGAAGACTCACAACTTTCTTGTTCTCTTTACTTCACTCTCAGGAGAAGCAAAAGAAAGTATTTATTACTGCATAATAGCATACTTAACTTCCCTCACTTAGCAAGAAAAATATTATTACTAAATCACAAAAAATTCAGTGTTTTGTGAGAAGCATGTATCTTCTATGAAATAACCAGAAATGTTCCAAAAAGTAAAAGTGATGATAAATGCACTGAAACTACCTTTCATATTTACTTTATTAAAAAGACATACTTTAGTTTTAAGTGAAAGGATACTATACTAGCCTTCAATTAGCAGCATAAAATCCCCCCTAAATTTTATACATACTACAGAAATATAGGGCAAAAACATCTAATTAAAACTTTGTTAAAGCAATTCTTGAGAAAACATTTGGTTTGTTGTTAGTAGGCTCTTTTTCATTGTGGCTAGGTGTATGTCTCTTCCTTTTGTGTTGTTTTTAATTACCATAGTATGAAAAAGAAAAAGGAAAAAAAAAATTAGTTGTAAATGGGTATCTAATGCATATACTGTGCTTGTTTGGTACAACGATTGCTTTATTCAGTAAATTTAGCATGTATGTCTTCCTTTTCTATGTCATTGTTTCATGACATACCTGAGGCTACCTTCTAGAAAGCTTGAAAGCTCATGGCCTGATTGTGATTTCACACTGAGTCATTCCACTGACATCATCAGGGCTGCATGAGAATAAACCAGAACATGTTGAGAACCACAGTGAGATGTACTGGGGTCTACATTCAGTTGTAAGGTCAATCTAAGTGAAAGGAAAAATAGACCACACAGATTTATACTTCACCATTCTTAATCAGGCTTTTTCATTTTGATCCTCCCTAGGATGCTTCTGTTGTATTCTTCAAACAGAAAAAAATATAATTATCGTGAGAAGCCACACAGTATCTACATTTCAGTCAGTAAGTAAGACCCCTGAAGACTCAAAAGAACACTTGTCAATTTTCTCTAAAGATAACCAATACCAAACATGAGGACTGTGCTGTAGATCAGATTATGACAATAATGATGATGAACCTAGTGAAAGGTTTTAACTGCAGTTCGTCAAAAACCACCACCCAAAAATATTTTATTATAAGTTTCGAATTCACTTTTCAAAACACACCAAGATCTGGGGTTTTGGCAAAGTATCTTAACACAGTGAAGGTACATTATAGTAAAGTTGCCTGCCCGACCTGAAGTACAGACCCTGTATGAAGTCAGAGCAGCAACTGTGGCTTCCAAAGATTCCCGTCCCTTCTGCTCCTACAGCGGTAGCCATTATCCTGACTCCACAGGGGAAGTAGCAGCTCCAGCTCGGGTTTTCAGGGCTCTGGCACAGGCAAAGGCAGCAGCACAGTGGTGACCTTGTTCCTGTACAGCAATGTGCTGCCTTTATTTTATGTGTGCCAACCACACTCCTATTAAATGCACAACATTCTTAAGAGGTGTTAAAAAAAGTACTGTTTGTATCTGCTAGTGCAGAAGGATGCAATGGAAACAGAAAGGGCACTACAAGACCTGAAATTCATATCCTGTTAGAAATAGAGCTGCATGACCATATGCTGTAACTGAGAAGCAACTGTGGTGTTGGCTCATGAGCACAACCAGTGACCCTAATTACAACACCAATAGGTATTTCCTACCAGGCTGCAGCAACTGATAAAACTCATTTTAAACTGAACCTTGCAATATAGGAACAACATTTGCCTCTTACTCTCCTTGTGAAAAGGAGTGAAATAGCTGGCACTTCTCTGTTAACATTTATTCAAGCTAAAGAAAAAGTAGTTTGTCCAGCTCATCTGCTTGTTTGGGTAAGTATGTGTGCCTGGCCTATCAATCAGTTCCAGTGAAGATAAAAAAATTGGTTTATTTCAGGTAAAAAAGCAAAGTCTGTGCCCTAGGAGGTCAGATGCCCATTCTTCTTTGTGTATGTCCACCGAAGAAGAGGCCACAGGCCACTTAGAATTAATAAATATTACCTACATAAGGCCAGAAAAATAAAATATTCGCTTGTGCTAATTCATACTGTGTAGCATTATCAGTAGTTCTGGTATTAAGTTTTGCTAATTTCCACTCAACTATTGTTTTTGCCAAGAAAAACAAGATAAACAATTATTATAGCACTTAGGTATTACTGACCAGCATGAAACTGTGTCCCAGGAAAAAATCCCATTAACAAAGAAATGTATTACTGAGTGAATTTCTGCCACCTCTAAACTTTGCTACTTGTTTTTTTATTAGCACTGTCGTTTCTAGCTGGTGAAACAGATCCTTCACTCCTGAAGGGAAACCGTACTCCAGACAAAGCACACACGTGAAGAAATTACTTTCAGTGACCTCAAGTAAATCCTCCTGCAGGCAAGAAATGTGCAGCAGAGGGGCTGAGCATGGGGTCCAGGGTCCAGGTGTAACATCACAGAGCGTGCAACAAGGATCCAGTGGTGAGAGTGGCTGCACTTGGCAGGAGCAGGCATTGGGGGAAGGTGGGAGCTGTCCCCAAGAGGGATCAAACACTCTCAGCCTCCTCCAGGGATGTCTTCACAGCAACACCTGGGCTCCTTCCCACCAGCTCAATGCTGCATTTCACACCATACTTATACAAACTCTTCCTGTTTCAATTTGGGTACTATTTTCTCATAATGACAATGTCTGCATTTAAAGACTGCACCTCTTAATTTTGAATTATTTCCCTAGTCTGGGAAAGCAATACTTTGTGACATAGTAGAAAAATTAAATGCTGTCTGGTCAACAAACAAGCCCAAACAAGTCTGCCACAGCATGCAGAGCTGAAATACTTTCACTCAGCTGCTTAATGGGACATAATGTTCACTGCATAACAACAAACTGTTCAGTGTTTTTTAGCTCACCTTGCTTTTATATCCTTGGCAATGATGTTAGATATTCTTTCATACCAGGAAACTAGAAAAACTGCAACGGAAATGGTTGCAGGCTACAACCTAGTATCTAGATCTATGCCTCAAAAATACCACAGGATTTTCTAATTGTTTTGACAAAGGAATTATACTTCCTGAAAGACACTGAAGGTTTCAAGTCCTTGATCAAAGTCCAAGAAGCCTTTATAAACTTCAGTGGGTACAGCTTGTGTCCTATCTGGAGAGAATAACAGTGAAATGCAATGAAAAACTCAGTTTCCCATTGCTATTCTAGAGTTGTCTGAACTTGCTGGTCAACTTTTCATACTAAGGAGAAGAGTATCAAAGAGTGATTCTGAAAGCAAGTATCTGCAGATACTCTGAAGACCACTTGTCATTAAGGTTAAAAAAAAAAAGTAGGTCCTTTAGGCTCCCAGCAGATGGAGGACAACTCTGCCACCTTCACAGTGTAAAACAAAATTACTACACCAGTACTTTCGTAGGTAACTGCTATTGAAGTATTAACACAATTAGTAAAAAAAAAAAATTAGTGTAATTATTCAGGAATTTTGACTAAAAACATCACCTGAGTGACCCACTTCAGAGAACATATAAGCAAAACCTATAGTTTTAAGTTCAGCCCCATTTACTCATTGTAAGGCCAGAGGAGTATAACCACAAACAGTCCCAAGCCAGAAGTGTGATGGAACTTCTCTGTCTGATAATCAGCTCAAATGATAGCTTCTGCAGAAAAGTTCACATTTGAGGCAAAGTGAATGTCAGAAGTTTCTTAAATTCTCACATGCAGGGTCCACACCAGAGCCTGCTACAGTCTCATGATAAATTGAGTTATTAGGATATGATATAAGCAACAACTCCACCCAATGGTGATTTTAAATTTTTTACAATTATACTATCATCTAATTTATAAACCTTCCTCTTCAGCCATGAAAGCCAGAAGATGATTTAGTATTTTATTTTAGTATTTTGCTAATAATTGAATTCCAGAAGCATCAAATTTTATGACCTGGCCATTCTGTAATCAAAGGCTGACAATGGTCTTTTAAGTACATGATGATGGTAGACATTCTAGAGCTAAAAATATAGGACATAAATATGAAGACCCTTAGATGAACACATTCCAAACTGCACTAGCTCTTGCCTCAATGGTAATTGCACTTTCCATTATAATTTGTCCTTCAGTACTTTGAAGCATCTTAGCCCAGTTCTCTTCAACATCTTCATAAGTGACTTGGATGCAGGACTCAAAGGAATACTGTTTCCTACTGATACTAAATCGGGAAGAGCTGCTGACTGCCTTGAAGGCAGAGAGGCCCTTTGGAGAGAACTCAGCAAATTAAAGGGCTGGGCGATCACCAACTGTATGGAATCTAACAAGGGAAACTGACAGATCCTGCACCTGGGGACAGGGCAACCCTGGAAGTACAGACAGACTGAGGAGTGAGATCCTGGAGAGCAGTACCATGGAAAGGGACTTGTCCTGGTCCATGGCCAGTTGAACACGAGCCAGCAGTGCCCTGGCAGCCAGGAGAGCCAATCCTGTCCTGGGGGGCATCAGGCCCAGCATGGCCAGCTGGGCAAGGGAGGGGATTGTCCTGCTCTGCTCTGAGCTGGGGTGGCCTCACCTCCAGTGCTGGGGCAGTTTTGGGTATCACAATGTCACAAAGACATTGAGCTGTCACAGTGTCCAAAGTAGGGAAACAAAGATAGTGAAGGGTCTTGAGGAGAAGCTGTATGAAGAGTGGCTGAGGTCACCTGGCCTGCTCAGCCTGGAGGAGACTGAGGTGAGACCTCACTGCAGTTACAACCTCCTCAAGGGGGAAGAGAAGGGGCAGGCACTGATCACTGGGGTGACCAGTGACAGGACCCAAGGGAATGGCCTGATGTTTCAGGAGTGGTTTAGTTTAGATTTCAGGTAAAGACTCTCAACCTAGAGCATGTCTGAGCACTGGAACAGGTTCCCCAGGGAAATGGTCACAGCACCAGCCTGACAGAGTGACAGAAGTGCTTGAACAATGTTCTCAGGCACATGTTATGGCTCCTGGGGCTGTCCTGTGCCAAGCCAGAAGCTGAACTTCAGTGATCCTTGTGGGTCCCTTCCAACTCAGGATATCCTATGATTCTATCAGTGAAATTAGTGAAAATAAATGTGATATTGGATTCCTATCCTCATGCTATTTTGATAAAAGTGAACTACCTAGTAGGTTCTAAAGGCATAAAGTGAATTATTAATGAAAAATCTTATTCATGCAACAGCTCTCAAGACTTTTTTCATTATCACTCATATATGTCCCAGATAATGAACACCAGAGACTAAGAATAAGCATTCTGCCCAGTACAAGAGTCTTCAAAGCCTGAGTCCTCTTAAGCTGTATCATTTGTTGTTGTATTCCTACTACATCCATACACATTCCATTGTACACACAATTGGAAATATTTCAGGTCCATTATTTGGTATGATGTCCATCTATTTCTGGATTTTAGACAATTGGTCTCCCTTTGGTTTAGGAAATGTGAGCAATCAAGCACAGAGAAATAACCAAATTTGGGACTTTGGACAAAATTCACATCTCAGAAAAAGTGGCACCTACCAAAAATATATACCATAGATTTAGGTTTTCTAGATCTAGAGAACTAGGAGTAAATTCAAGAGTGTTTTGAATACTTCATATATTAAAAAAATAAATACATAAATGTAAGTTATGTCTATGGATTTACATACTTGTATGAAGTTTGCATGCCAATTTTTACTTGAACATGTAAAGCAAAGATCACGATGAGGCCATGAGATTTATACTTCAGGGAATAAAAACTTTTCAGAATCATTAAGTTGGGCTTTCTGTACCAGCAGATCTGCAAAGAAGCGCTCTGCATGGAACACAAAATCAGAAGTTAATCAGGTAACACCACTTAATATTCTTTCCTCTCCCCAGATGCAGCACCATAAAGCAAGGGATATGAAAAGGGATAGGGTAAGGGTGGAGACAGGGAGAGCAGTGCAGATAAGGAGATCAGGGAGGAAGTGTTTAATTCTGTAACTTCCCCTGAGTGCTTTGCTGAGCCTTTCCAGAGTGCAGGCCCAGCCAGGCATCATTAGTGCCTGATTCAAGCTGCAAGATAATCCTGTGTGCAAAACCCCCAGTCATTTCTAGGACACCAACCTACTGTAATATGCTCTTTAGTGGCCTTAATACATGCCATGTATTAATATGTTTAGCTTAGTGGAGTGCCTGGAGAAAAACCCCATTTCCAATTCATATTTATCATTACACCCTAGCAACACAGAAATTTGGCTGGTGTCACATGGCCACAGACAAAACACAGAGTGCCTGCTCAGAAGGCTTGTCTCTATCTATCAGGAGCTGAAATCATTAACTGCATGTGCAAAGGATACAGGGCAGCTCCTCAGTGCTCTACTCATGTGAAATGGAGCAATGCTGACTTACCCTGACTGAGGTTATTTCCATTCTTATGTAAGTCCTTGCATTAGGTAAAGCATAACGCAACCAAACGTTGGAAAAACAGACAAAAAAATGAGGAGGGTAGAGAGCAAACACAGAAATGGCTTAACACTTGTTTACCAGGAGTTGTACAAATTACAGCTTATTTTTTTTAAAATTACACTAAAGCCCAAGCATTAAATACACAACATAGCATTTTAAATAACCCACAATCTCTACATCCTTATAAATACAGCCTTCAAAGTAAATTTTAACAAGAGGTTTTGCTAATATTTGAAAACACAGAGTTCTTCCTAGATGAAACAGACTTGGGCAAGAGAAAAGTTACTATGTTTGCCTTTATGTATATTTTTAAAATCTAATTCAAAATTTCTGTATATCTCTTATTCCCTGGGCCAGAAAATAGAAGAGCTTCACAACTTAAAAATGTGTTAAAAAATTAATTCTGAACAGATTAGCTGAGTAACATTAACTGAACATGAAAAATTGTCTATCTGGCACTAAGTCTCAGCCAAGTTGGATGATATCCACAGGTTCTGGGTGTGTGCTCTTACAAAAACCAGCAAAAGAATAAACAAGCAGACAATTCCTGTGGCAATTAAAAGTACTTAAGCTTTCACACAGAAACAAGGAATGCAAAATAATGGGTTTTGGTACAGTTTCAGAAGTAAAAGCAGAATCCTAACATGCTGTCACATCCAATCAAAGTCAAAACCAGTCGGCCTTCCTGATGAATCATTACAATACTGCATGAAGACAATGAAAGATAGAGGATATTTAAAAACTTCAGTATTTTAACACTAGTCTGGGGTGTATGATGGGACATGGTGCATACCTTCATTTTTTACTATTAAAGAAGCAAAAGAATCTCAGTCATGTCAAATGGGGCTGAAGGTGCTCCCAATTGCTGAAAATGAGGCCACTTCTATTTAGGCGCAAAATATGGGCACCTTTCTAGGGATCCAAGTTAAAAATGTAACCTTTAAAAAACAAATATTGAGGCATATACAAGTCAAAAGTGTTGCATCTGGGCTAAGTAACCTTGAAACTATTCCCCATATAAAATACATGATTACCCAAGTGGCATGTGTGCCTACTAAATGAACTGTTTGATTACAGGTCCTCTTCATCCCCAGAAGCAAATAGCATTTTAGAGAAGAATAATAAAATGTGACAGTGTCTCTGCCAGTGCTCCTGGGTAATACCCCTCAGCTCACACGCACGTGTTCATGCATGTATAGATGAATGCACAATCAATGTAAGTGTGCACATCACATGCACACATTAATTTGTGGAACATACAACTATTTTAGTGACCATTTCAGTTCTAACAATACTTAATACTCAACGTTTCACTAGTTGGGAAAAATAAAATATATATACACATCCTAAAAAAAAAGAGCACCCTAAATCTTCATTTGAAAACGTAATTTCCTGCATAAAGAATAAAACCAGAACAGATAAATGTGTGTCAGCTTTTGTCAGACTCTACCTCAGTAGTCAGATTCTACCACCAAATGAGAACTGAGAGCCAGGATAAGCCTTGTAAGTCAGTGCCTGGCTGTGAGCCTGAATAGAGGGCTTCCCCAAACACCATCTGAGTCATCCCACCAGCTGTTCCTAGATGTTCAATTTGCCACTTGGCTGAAATGATCCTCCTTTTCCTCACTGATTGCTCTTACCAACTCAGATCTGATCCCTGCACCAACTTACTCTGCCTGAGGTTCTCCAGCTTGACCTACATTTTCTTTAGGGCCATGTCCTGCTGGGCATACTTCTCTTCTGATTCCCTGCATGGCTCAGAAATTCACCATCATGTCCTCAGTGACAGGGTATCTCCACATGTCCTTAATTCCTTACCACAAATCTGGGGTCAGACTTTTGATTCCTTCTCATTGGAACCAAGTGAAAACACCTTAACTGTATTTCTCAGTCATCTGCTCTGTCACTGTTTGTTTTTTTTTCATAGAGTAGGAATTTCTCCACCAGTCTTGTTACAGGGTTTCCCTGTTTCAATTACCATTACTTTAATACAGATATGTCTGTATATGGTTTGCTTGGTGGAGCTTGTGTCACTGAATCTACAAGTTATAACCACCTTTCATCTATAATTTAATGTAGACATAGATCAAATAAGATTTTCAACTGAAACATCCTTTTTTGTCCTGATAGAAATCATACTTTGATTTCACTTCTTTACTATTACAAATACTTTCTTGCATTGGTTTCCAGATGTTGATGTAGAAGGATGTGCCCCCAACAATGCTGAAGAAACATATGGGGAAATTACAAACTTAAATATTGCTTTGTACGAAAGAATCTTTCTCTTTAATATCTACTGGCAAGAATTTAAAAAAAAAATTAAATTATAATTTACAAATGAAAATTGATTTGATAATTTTAATTAAAGATTTGGATTAATTAATAACAGTTTGCTTACTAGAGGAAATAATGCAGTTGTCAAATTCCCCTGAACAAACCACACACTGTGTTGACAGTATCATAAAGAAAATCTGAAGAAACACAAATAACTTGGTAATGAGTCAAAAAAACCCCCAGAATATTAGAAAAATGTTACCAAAGAACAACACTGAACAAGCAGTAATCTACAGACTTGGAACCATAAATTACTGACCTTATCTTTTCTTGATGTTTTGTATGAAACAGTTTGTTGATAGAATTTTTTTGAATGCAAACGTGCAGAAACACTGCCATTCACAGCTAATTTACTATAAAGAATGCTGCTAATCAACGTGAGAGTCCCACCTCTTATTGTGTTATCACTTAAAAAGAACCTCCTTTGGATATCATGTAGGATCGACTTTACAACTTCTGAGTTTAAATAACTGTTAAATAATCATCTGTGACTTGATCTGGGTGGCAGGACCCTCCTGTAGCCGTTGTCAAACCACTCCTCCATCCCATCCTCCAGAAAGATTTTAGAGACCTCAGAAGTGCTGTCCAAGAGCATCTCCTAAATCCCAGCCTCCTGAGCCAGCATTTCAAAGATTTTTAGAACAGCCTCAAGGGTTTTTCCTATGAGTTTTCCCTGGGTCTACCAGGGCATCCATACACGTGGACACGTGGCCAAGAGCATCGGTGAAAATGCTGCCAGATCCCAGGCATTATTTCCTACTAATGTATATTATATAAAAAAAAAAAGAAAAAAAAAAAAGAAAAAAAAAGAAAAAAAAAGAGACAAACACAACAAACAAACAATAAAACAAAAAGAAACATTGATATTTATATCAAAAACTTTTCTGGGTTAAATGTGGGCTTGATTTTGCCGGATAAACAGTGTGCAATGTTCTTCTTGCCAGCTGGATGACGGACACATGCACTCTGCAGGTAAAGGGAGCATCCTGGAGACTAAGCCAATCTTTCTATTTCAGGGCAGATCAGAACCATGTCAGGCTGATTTGGCAGGGTCATGCAGGTCAAGCAGGCACCCTTATAAATAACTGCTGATTAAGCAGAGACTGCTACAAGAGGTCTGACGAAGGAAATTACTGCACTAAAATAAGCTAAACTGAAGCACAAATGAGGTCAGAGGTGGAAAATTTTGACTATCATTCAAAATTGTGAAGGAAGTGTACGTTCTGCACTTTCAGTATTTCCAAAGCTTTCAAGGTAGAAGAAGCAAAGTTCTTTGAAGGAAGTTCTACAATGCTCTAGTTGCAGTAAAATGAAAAGAGCATTTTAGCTCCTCATGGCTACAACTAAGCGTCTTAGAAGAGACATGTAACTCAAGTCATTTGGCTGCAGTATGGAATTATTTTTTTAATTGTTCTTCACTATCATCCTTACTTTCGCATCATCCTAAAATCCCAAAGATATTCTTTCTTCCTCTGCATAAAATCCATGCTTGGTCTATCTATTCACCTATATAAAACCACCTTCCCTTTTGCATTTCCTTGTGTTCTCTAATGAATGTAGAATGAAGTTAATAACGTATTTTTCTTCAACAATCTCTTCAACAATGTGATTTCCTTAACAGATAACTTTTTGGTATTTTTCCACTTTAGAGTAAAAACATTTTAAAAACCCAAAGAAACAAGGCCTTCCATAAATCTTTTGAATTGTCAATGGTTTCTACACTGCCTTTTATGACAATCTCTTCTTTCATATAGTTTATTTAACTTGCTTTGCTTTGTGATAAAGAGACTGCTCTCCTTATCTCAAATGGCTGACTCATCACACAGTATCAAGCAGTTGAGACTCTCAGCTTTGAAAACCCTTTTGCAATTACCTTTCCCAAGAGCTCACAAATATGGGGGAATCTATGCCATTCATTGGTTCAATAAAATTCTTGAAAGACAATGTCTTCTATATCTTCAAAGTCGTCTGAGGACTTGACAAAGAGTTTGCAAATTCAGATTAGATTCTTACAGTGAAAACTTACATCTATAGTTTCTAAATACCCAACTGATAGCACACAAAATTTGATGAACATGTTTTCAGATCACTTTGTTAAAGGCCACAAAAACACAAGCCTATATATGTAGACTGAAGTTTAGTTAAAACTCTAACTATCCTTTGAAGATAAATATTGTCCACAGAAATTTTACCAGTCACTGAACACAGCAGGAAACTGAAGAGCCTAACATCATCATTAGAGATGGCAGAATTTTTGTAAAGCCCTAATAGTATTTTCTACATTCTTCAGGTTTCAGAGAAAAGTTTCGTACTGAGAACTTTCCAGCAGCTATGAAACCTAAATTATATCAGGCTAGTATAAAAAGACAATTTAAAAATTGTATGGTATGCCACAAAAAATTTGTAAAGTACTATAAGAACTCAGTACCCCTATTCAATGATCTTGAGGTTTAATTTTTTCAATGCATATAGAAAATAGGGTTCTCTAACAGGACAGAATTTGATATTTTTAAATAGAGGGGAAAAGGCACAGTTATACTTGCCTTAGGTCACAGAAAACAGTAATTTATGATCTGCTGTAGAAAGACCACACACCCACACCACAATATCCCAACAATGGGGCATTTTTATTTTAAAAGAAGCTAATATCCAGAATAGGTGGTGCTTAGGACAAAGGCAACTAGTTATTCCGGTCTGCAAGTTTTCACCAATACTATATTTGCTCACAGCTTTCCTGGCTCCATCCAGCATTCGCTGTCTTTCGGTTTCATAGGCACCAAAAATAACTATCATCTGAAGAACAGCCTCCTTCCAAGAAAACAAACAACAATCCAAACACAAATGCAACACAAACGTTATTTCCTTCTGATGTTTTTTGACGTGACTGCAAGTTCTTCATGAAAACAATATGGGTGGAGTACCACGGAGGCTGCAAAGGCCAGCTATGACCTCAGTTACAACTCTGGTTAAAGCAGGAGAAGGGTCAGTGCCTTTTCCACAGTTAAATGCTGATGATCTCTGAGGCTCTTAGGCTCTTTATGGTGTGTTACTTCCCAGCATTTTTGTTTGATTTGATTTATTTTAATGATATGCCACTGCACGTTAATATATGAGAGACACAGGGTGAATACACAAATGTGCTCATCCTGTTTATTTATCAGTCCTAATTATTGTGTAGTAATTACAGAAAATCATGGAAATCTGCAGTAACAGGTACCTGGCTTCTGCCTACATCTCTTGTATTTGATATGCTTATAAGCAGGTCTAGAGCATCTTTACTTCACAAATCTAAGAGAAGGTAATTTTCCTTCCAAGCAGGAATGTTGCAAAGATAAATACCTTAAAAATTTACACTTAAGAGATACTTAAATAATGTGGTAATGCAGATCATACAATTGCAATAAACTGCTATAAATATTATACAAATATGTTTCGGTTTCTTGTCAGCAGAGCTCTCCTTCCTAAAAAGGAATAAAAGGATGTTTTCAATTGGTTTTAATACTCACTTTAATCACTTAATACCACAGCATTTCTACATTTTCTGTGTTCAGGCTTTGCCAATTAGATGACAATGACTTATGTACTCCATTATGGACTATTCTTCTATGTTTGGGATGTAGTAAGCAATTTTGGTTTAGATAGTAATTTGATCAACTGGACCTGAAATATCTGTGTCTATTGCTTTACTCTGTTTGTATGTGTGTTTATACATATAGATTTACATGTGATCTCCAACTCTGCACTGCTAAAGAGATTAAATCCAGACTAAAGATCTGAAAGTGGCCACCAGGAGCCTAAGACTTCTTGAAGTGTCCAAGGGCATGATATTCTTATTGACA